CAATTCACAAAATTGCAATAATTGAATTGTTTATTCAGTAATTCACTAATGATTCAGTAAGTGTCAATAATGGAATCAATAAGTGATCCAGATTAGGACCTTGCTTTAACATTCATCTGAGAGTAGAAGCTGGAAAATACCAATCTAGATATTGAGGGGGAGAGGTAGTGATATTGTCAAAATATTATTTAGGATCTCCAATGTCCTCTTGTAGAAGTAGTGACTCTGTGGATTTGGAGTTATAAGATTTTGATTCGAGTCCTGACTTATGCTACTTTGCTCCTCTGACCTTGGACAAGTCAGTCAACTTCTATGGGACTCCAATTCCAAGTGAGGAACTCCCTTCACCAATGCAGATCAGTACCTGCTCTGCAACCTACAAGTGAGCTAGCTGGGATAATGACAGTTTAAGTGTTACCCAGGGCCACATAGCCAACCAGTATGTCAGGGGCAGGGCTTGAACCCTAGTCTTCTTGACTTTGAGATAAGCTCTCTATTCACTTCTAATATAGCTTGGTATACAGCAGGGGCTTAATAAATGCTTATTGATTGAGTGCTTCCTTCACTCACCATATTGTCTTGATAAGTCCCTGTGGTCTGTAACAAATGTGGGGACCCAGTCCAAATAAGGTATCTGTTATTATCTATAGCATCCCATAGTGTTGAAGTTAGCTTGAGGGGCCGGAGTGGTTCTGCCCTGTTCCTCAGTGACATTCATTAGGAGCCCCACACACCAGGGGAATCACTGCTAAGCGGTCCAGCCTGTTATGGCTGCCGTGTGACATTCTGCTTTTTGCTTTGTGTAAGCAATGAGATACCATGGATCTGCTTTTATCAAACACACAATTAAAAAGCCCGCAGTATTAGGGAACTGAAGCTTTGACATATGGACTTCTATTGAGGCTTCATGCTTCTCAGAGCAGGTTGAAGATGGGGTTGTTATGATCACATTCATATCACTACTTTCTGATCATTTAAGTGCTTGGGGTGGGGGGACAGAAGTAGACCTAAAAGAACAACACAGCAAGGTTTGGTTGGCTTTGGGGAGAGCACAACTCTGCAGTTTCCAGCCTTCTTTTTTTGAACATACAACACCAGGCCTGGAAAATGGCATTTGCTATGTGTTGGCAAGAAATCCTGCAGCTGAAACACTTCTCTCCAAATGTCGAGCATCTTTATTTATCCAAATCTCTCCACAGTGTTTGTTTAAAGGGGATATCTGGAGAGTAAACTAAATTTTACAATGAGCATATGGATGGCTATAATTGCTGATTTTTTTTCATATTTATCAAAGAGCTATATATAAAATTGTGTGTGTTTCTGTTTCGTAGATTTCACACCCTGTAGGACTTCTAATTTTTGCATGCATATGATTTTCACATGGATGGACCACAATGCAAAAATACTCTTCTTAACAGTCAAGATAGAGAAACTATGAGAAGTCAACACCAAAAATGCTATAAACCAGGGCTTGAAGTCCAAGCTGCTGGATTCCCTTGCCAAGGCCCTCTCCAGTTAACTAAATCCCACCCTATCAGTTTAATTTTTCCTTGAAATTCCCTCTCTTTGAGAGCAAGGGGATGATAGAGAGGAGGGCAGATTGGGAAAGGGGGTAATCAGAAGCAAATACTTCTGAGGAGGGACAGGCTCAAAAGAAAGAATAGAATAAATGGCGGGGCAGGCTAGGATTAAGGGAAATAGAGTTAGTTTTTCACAACATGTCTACTATGGAAGTGTTTTGCATAACTGCACATGTATAACCTATATTGAGTTGCTTGCCTTTTCAATGAGGGTGGGTGGGGAGGGAGGAAGGGAGAAAATTTGGAACCCAAAGTTTTAAAAACACATTTAAAAAAAAATGTTTTCACATGTACCTGGGAAATAAGAAATACAGGAAATGGGGTACAGAAGTCTATCCTGCCCTACGGGAAAATAGAAAGGGAAGGGGATAAGAGAAGGGAGGGGGAGAGATAGAAGAGAAGGCAGACTAGGGGAAGGGGTATTCAGAATGCATGCAATCTTGGGGTGGGGGAGGGGCGAGATGGGGTGAAAATTTGGAACTCAAAATCTTGTGGAAGTAAATGTTGAAAACTAAAAATAAATAGATTTATATAATAAAAAAAAAAGAAATTCCCTCTCTTTGGCTTTACTGGTCAAAGGGTATCTATCTCTCCTTCCAAGCTTATCTCTGAACAAACCTTTTGATCTACTATATCCTGCCTTGGCCCCAAGGCTTTCTCAGAGACATATTCTGGTATTGTTAGCTATACATGTTAGCAACACTGTTCCCTTCTAGTTCCATTTATGTTAGGAATCCATTTGAGAAGGTGGCCTGAGGATTTTTAAAAATATGTCCATTGTTGTTGAACTTCTCTTTGATAAACTTTAGATAAACTTTAGTTTAGTTTAGAGGCAACTAGGTAGCATAGTGAATAGAATGCTGTCCTGGGACTCAGCAAGACTTTTGAGTTCAAATACTACCTCAGATACTTACTAGCTGTGTGACTCTGGGCAAGTTGCTTAACCTTAGCTTCAGTTTCCTAATCTGAAAAATGGGGATGATAAAAACCTGACTCCCAGGGTTGTTGTGAAGACCAAATCAAATGGCATATTGAAACACTTTGTAAAATTTGCAAAGCACTATATAAATACTAGCTATTGTTATCATTTTCATATTATTATTAAGTAATAGTACTTTAGTTTAGATACATTTGACTCAATTATCCATGGTTGTGGAGAATAAAGATTACATGAATAACTGGAATGTATACATTGTTAAAAATCTTATTTTTAGTCACTGCCTTAATCTTTCCAGCAGGATCTTACAGTTGGACTCGAATAAGAAATAACATTTTACATCCCAGTGTTTTACTTTATTTCTCTGCCTCTGTATGCTCTCTGGTGGCAGTACAAAGAAGTAGTGAGAATACCTACCAGAAATGGAGGCAGGAGGAAGTTAGGGTGAATGGGGGAAAGAATGAGGAGCCATAAAGAGATCCTGGATAAAGCACAAGTTGTATGATTGAAAATTAGCTTTAAATAACTTTTATATGTGATGTTAAATAGATGGCAGATATTTATTTCCCCCCAGTTAATAGTTAAGGCACCAACCTGTCCAAATTCAGATCCAGGACTTCAAATCCAGGCCATCTGAATTAAAAGACATGCCCTACCCTGTGGCCTAAATTACTTCCTTGCTTTATTTACCCTTCATTCTCCATTATAGGACTTCTTCCCTTTTTTTTTTAAAAGGGGTCACCCTATCTTACCTAGGCTGGAATAACAGTGAGACTGATCCCACTCTGATTGGCATAGGAATTTTGACCCATGCTGATTTCTGACTTGGGCCAGTTTCCCCCTCTTCAGACAACCTGGTTCTCCCCTTTCCTCCCCACATTGTTATATGAATGCCAAACAGTGGAGACACCCAATCAACTTATCCCAGTGCAGCTCAGAAACTCTCAAACTCAAGAGACCCACTAGGCTTAGCCTCCCTAGTAAATGGGATTACAGGTGTAAAGAGACTTATGATTCTTTACAGCTATAGCTGTCTCTTCTTCCCACAACTTGATCAATAAATTTTTTTCAATATTATCAATCAATAAACATTTATTTTCCCCCTTGTAATGAATATGCCTAGTCAAGCAAAACAAATCCACACATGTCCAAAAATCTCAAGTCTCATTCAGCATCTTGAGTCTACCACCTTTTCGTCAAGTTCTTTGGAGTTGTGATTGATCGTTGCATTGATCCAAGTTGTTATTCTATATAATGTCATTTAGCCTTTATTAAAACTTACTACGTGGAGAAAAAAAAACTTACTATGTGCCATGCTCCAGGTGCTAAGTGCCAGGGATAGAAAGGGGGGGAAAAAACCACACACACAAAAGGAGCTTTTCCCCTGCAGAGCTCTGTGAATGGAAACTATAGGTAATGTTATCAGTGAAGTTTGATGCCTCTTCTACACCTACAACCACACTGTGAAATGACATAAAAAGAAAATTAACAATAGTGGGTAACATGATCTATGTTAAATGAGTGGTAAAGGATGGAATATAGGGGTTTAAAAGGAAGAAAAACTAACATGGACTGCGGTAGGCCTCACATGCTAATACTAAAGCTAGACCTTGAAAGATTAATAGGATTTAGCAAAACCAAGTCCTTTGGGCTCACAGTCCTTGTCTTGATTCCATTCTGTTGAGCAAACCTTCTCTGTCTGGTCGATTGGTGTGCTGTTGTAAAATTCTTGAGTATTACATTTTCTGAAAATAAACTCCCCTAGTTACTCATGCTGACCTAGTGTTTTACCATTTGTCTTAATGGGCCCTTCCACCATGAAAGTTGAGAGACTTATCTTTGATATTGTGGTGAAAGAGAAAGAACACTGACTTGGACTCAAAATTTCTGGATTAAAATTGGATTATTTCTCTGAGCCTCAGTTTCCTCATCTGTAAAACAGGGGCTTTAATACTTGTGCTAGTTACCTCACAGGGTTGTATAGAAAGTGCCTTGTGAACTTTAAAGTGCTGTAGAAATAAGTGTTGTAATTATTGTGGCAAACTAATTGGCCTGAAGCTGGTCATCTGTATCCTCCAAGTTTTTCCATAGTAGGCTAGAAATTGAAATCCCTCCATCCCCATTCCCTATTGGTCCCTCAGCAGGTCACTCTTGCTACAGCATCATGCCTAGGATACAGGCCCTTTTTGAGGTAAGTCTAGGGAACAGTTACTATCTCTGTTGGACCAGTTTATTTTAACCAAAGTAATCTACTAGGGCCTGTGGTGACCCCTGTGTGCAAAATAGAGTGTGTGTTTGATCATATTTAAATGGAGGAGAAAATAAGTTCTCTACTTAGCCCGAAGACCCAGCTGACATTTCCCTGAGAATGCACACCAAGACTTCATTGGAAAAGCTCCCATGCAGCTGATCCAGATTTTACATTATATGAGTTTAGACCGTTAGATTGCTCATCACCAATGTAACCCCTTTGCCCTTTGCAGAGTTCCAGGTTCCAGTGACAGAACCTGACATCAACAACAGGCTAGAATCCTTGTGCCTCAGTATGACTGAACATGCCCTTGGGGGTGAGTTTCTTTCTTTATCCAAAGTGGCTGAGGGAATGAATGCACCTGACAACCCTCTGTTCACAAATGTGCTCTAGTTGCCTGAGGGGGGTGGGGGAAGAGGGTGTTGGGAGGGAAAAAGGGACTCACTTGGGGATATGTTAGAATGACTTCTATCACCCCAGTGAACTGTCCCTTAGCTTCTTTCATTTTTGGAAAATGAGTTTGTTGTTGAGAGAACTTAAGTTGCCCATCTCCCCAGCAGCTCAAACTAGGACCGCCAAATCCATCTTACATTTAAATCACTCTAATGCCTTGAGCAGCAAGGTACTATTATGAATGTACCTCCATACAACTGGGTTTCTTTTATTCCAGGCTCTAGGCCAAACCTTCACTAGCAATAGTGAATAGTGGAAAGAAGCATCCTAACAAACTTATTTGTCTTATATCTTAAAAGTTCCAGATGACTGAAGCAGAGCTGGAAGCTCCCAGCCTAACGTCTGGCTCCCCTAATCCTTGACAAGGAAATTTCTGTTTGGGATACACATTAACAGCCTGCTATTTTTCAGTGACTGAAGTCAGCAACGTGATAGGTTATGGTATGCAGAACCAAAGCCCATATGTGGAGCCAACAAAATGAACTATGTCTTTCCACCGTCTACTCTGTCAGACCTGACATGCCATATTATCACGGCCACCCTGGTAGACATTTCCTCCATCTCCCTCCTCATACCAAATAGGTTGCATTAGCTGGGTCTGTGTTGTCATGAATCAAGAGCTTAAACTCAATTGCTTCTTCCCCAGGGAAGGTTGGTGGACCTAGCAGAGCAGATGTCCTTTTCTGCCATCTTAGTGGGGAACTCTGACGTAGGAGCCCTCCAGGATCTGTCCTTATACCTCTATACACAATCACTGGGTGCCTTTCTTTTTTCCTTCAACTCCAACAATTGGCCAACAAGGGGCTCTAGTTCAAAGACTCACTATAGTTCTTCTTGACTCACGGCAGGAAAGATGACAGACATATCCAGGCAATCCAGGTTGGCCAACTATATGTGGTCCATGAGCCAAATCAGACCCACTGCCTGTTTTTGTACAGCCTGCAAGCTAAGAATAGTTTTTACATTTTAAAATAAAGTTTGTATTTAAATGAAGTTTGTATTTTAAAATGTAAAAATCACTCAGCTTACAGACTGTACAAAAACAGGCAGCAGGCTGAATGTGGCCCAGAGGCCAAAGTGCTATCGCTTGCTCTAGAGAGCCTTTTCTGTAGACATCTCAGCTACTGAGACTTGAAGACATGATTGTCACTGTTTTTCCCCTGGTGCCTAAAGGAGAACACTCATTTTCCATCCTGACTTCATGTCCCCCAGAGAGCTGGTTCTGAGCCAAGAGCTTTCTTGGAAAATAATGGGGACAACATGAGTCTGAAGAGCAGGGCAAGAACTGGGTCCACAACATCTTTGTCCCTAGTTCATATTGAGGCAACATGGGTTAAGAACCTGGTAGGTTTTTCTTCAAATTATTGTTGTTTAAAGCAAGCTCAATTTCTTAATATTGTCTCAAGCTCAACACATGAGAGAACATTTGCTAACAGGAGAGGGGAACACTTGAAGGCAGGCATTCCCTAGACCCAAGTAGGCCAGGCTGAGGTTTCCATTCAGATCCTGATGATTTCCTACATGAATCTGAGTCTCAGTGAAGAGAACACTGACCTCCCCTTACAACATTATATTTATAGCTTGGATAATTAGCATTTTGTTTGCATTCTACTATCAGCATTATTATTATCATTAGCAATATTTTTATGAAGAGAAAAGTGTCTGATTAAACATTTAATTTTCAATCCATGAATTGGATTGAATACTTAGAGAAAACCATTTTGAACCAATATTTTGATACTGTTTTCATTTAGTCATTTAATCTCTCTTAGCCACAGTTTCCACACCTGTAAAATGGGGATAAAAATAATACCTACTTCACAGGATTCTTGTAAGGATCAAATGAGATAATTTATGTAAACCATTTTATAAACCTTAACATGCTACATAAATGTTCATTATTATTAGTTATCCTTTTTCTCAGTAATCCCTCCTAATGAGAAGCCATGTGAAAAATGGCATAAACTCAGATGATAAATTCAATTCAGGACAGGCTTAGGAAGGAAGAATGGCTTGCCCTGTCACCATGACCAGTGTTCCTCTGGCTATGAGTCCCCTGGAGGTGGTGATGCCCTTGCCTTGCTATAGATTGTTGTAGAAGGATTGATTTCAGTTTTGGTGGAGAGAGAAGCTCTATCACTTGGGAACAGCTCATTTAATCCAGCCAAGATTCTACCTCACCTATCCCAAATTGTGGTGTTACTTTTAGCTTTCTCAACAACCAATAATTCATTCTAGTAGCTAAGGTTGTTAGGAGGTTCCTCCATGTAGCTAACAATACCCTTCAGCTGCCAATTTAAGCCTCTTTGCTTTATAATCCCTTATTTATCTTCTCTTTTCTTATTTCTTTCCCCTTCTCCCTTTCATCTATCCAATTTTTATTCCTTCCTTTCCTTCTTCTGTTCCCTTTTGTCTTTCCCAACTCAAGACTCATCAGGAAGATAATTTGAGAGGAAAGTGAAGGCTATAGGAGGAGAGGCAGCCCTGATATACTACTGATAGCAGCATTTCATAGGCTGTGCTGTTAGTATTCCTTATGATTAAGATTTTCATCAGTCACTATAGGATGTTCTCTTCTTTAATAGCCCTGAGTGTTAAAAAAGGACCAAAATTCAGCTTCTCTTTTCCTAGTCTCCTACAGAAGGGTAACATTACCCAAGGTCTGCCAAACTGTGGTTCTGGAAATTGTAGCTCTTTCTTAATGTATGGAGATCCTTACAGCCAACTCCTGATTATTCTGGGCTGATTAACCAGTCTGTGGGTAATCTAGGTCCCTTCCTTTTCTTTTAGCTACGATTCTTCCCATTCTCACTTATTCCTGCTGGTTGTGTCTTGACCTGCTGGCGAGCATTTCTATTTATGGTTTATGGAGATGGAAAATATAAAATAATGTTGCAATGAGATTCAGGGATTTTCTTAGGCTTTCCTTTTACTGCTCTCCCAATTTCCAATGAATGCTGTGAACTATTTGTACAGAATTCTCTAGGGGCCCCTGGAAACTTACAGTGCCTTTCACTTTCAGAGTTTACATTTAAACATAGAATGGACCAAAAGATTTTCTTCTCAGCCTACGGAGTGGCTTGTGAATGACTCGAGACTCAGGTCTCTCTAATCCAATCACCTCAACACAGTTTGCCATTATTCAGAAGGCAGGAGGAAGTATTTATTCCTACCTTGGTCCATATGGGGTAGGAAGGTATTACCTTGAAATTCTGCCCTATGGTGAATGAGAAAGCTTAAGAGCTCTAGTCTGGATATAATTAACAGGACCTATCAGTAACCATGAAATTCAAGTACGCTGCTTAAGAGTCAGAACCAGGGATGTGCTGGAACCAGCTCTAATCTGCTTGCCAGAGCTGGTTGTTAAATATTCGGTATGAACATTTACATCCCAGAAATCAGCAATTGCTACAAATCAGAAGTTTGTATCTACTTTTTGTTGATTTTCTAGACTTAAGGAGTTAATAATGCAGATTAAACTTACAAGTCTGTGTGCATACATTCCCCTTCTCCCACCTCAGACTGATTGTTAAATATTTATTGGCGCATTCCTATATTTCTCTATAAACACTGCTGGAGCTAAGCAGGAATGCAGTGGAAGGCTCAGGAGTCATCATGAAGGCTAGTGACTGTAGACAAATAATAACAATAATAATAATAATAATAATAATAATAATAATAATAATAATAATACCTGGCATTTATCGCATTTGAACCTCATAATACCCCTAGACAGAATGGTTGATCAGGGTAAAGAAAAGACTAGAGAGTAGAAAGAACACCAATTTGGAGTCAAAGGACCTGGGTTGATATCCTAGCTGTACTACAATGAAGTTGCCTGTGTGACCTTGGGCAAGTGACTTTACTTTTCCGAGTTTCAGTTTTCTCATCTAGAAAATGAGGTAATAGGACTAGATGACCCTTGAGAATCCTTTCTAGCTCTAGATCTTGGTATAGGAGAAATAGCTCTTCTTTGAGTTTGTGTGATAGGTTACTGCTGCCATAAAAATTTACCACAATGTGGAAGTTATAGAGGCAAAAATCTGTTTTTTATTATGTTTGAGCACAGGTTCAAGATTCAGAAAAGTAGCCCTGAGCCAAGATTAGGATTCTCACAGGCTTTTTTTTTAAATAAAATTATATCATAGACAGAAAAAAAAAATTTTACATACCTAGCAAACTTAAACAGAGTCATTACCTCATATATCCCCAAGGAAACAAACCTAGGAACTCTAGAGGTAAACTAAGGCAAGTTACAAATTAAACTACATTTAGAGGATTCATAATTGGGTGGAGGAGATTTAAGTGTCACAAAGAGATAACCAAAAGGCTCAGAGACTAGAGAATCCTTTCACAAATAGCTTGGGAAGCTCAGAACTCCCCTTTGTCATCTTATCTGAGGAACATAAAAAAGTCTTCCTTTAATATTATCATTCCATGTGTCAGGTTATTTAATCAGGTGAGATTAATTTTAATAGGAAACAGGCTTCAGTTAACCAAAATGTTCCGGGAGGAATGGTGTAACAAAATTGAATAAAAGGAAATATTTTAAATTCTCATCACAATCTTATGTTAGGGATTCAATGGCAATTGCAATCTACCCCTGTGATTTTCCACTGGCCTACTGCATAAGGTCCTAAAATGCAGTTCCTTCAAAAAATAAATAAGAGCATTCACGTGTCTAAAGTGTATTTGTTATTTGTCTTACAGGTCATTTGCTTTTCTGCCTCAAAATGCCCCATCTGAGAGCTACCACATTAGCATGCCAGAAATACTCCAGAGTAGAGTCAGGGTCCTGTCACCTTTCTTCCTCATGGTCCATGACAAACAGGGTCACCCTGGAATTTGTACCCTCCCCATTTCACAGTTGAGTCCTTTCTATTGTATAGCGATCAGAAGGCTCATAGACTAATCAAGTCAACAACCATTTATTAAATGTCTACTCTGTGCCCTCAAGGAGCTCACATTCTAATGGGGGAGACAACATGCAAAAAACTATGTACAAAATAAGATCTGGACAGGATAATTTGAAGATCATCTCAGACTGAAGGCATTTGCATTTACTTCCTCTGCTTCTATTAAAAAAAATATTAGAGGTAAAAATCCAGAATGACAACTAGTTCTAAGTTATTCTAGTCATAATAATTCACCAAAACCAGTAGTTAAAAAAAAATCCATGGACACTTCCTTTCTGATCACATGCCAAGTCAGAGAATGTATTATAAACATATTTGCTACCGTTCAAGTGGTCACTTAAATAATAAATAAAATATTTGGCTATGTGTGCCTGGTGCTTGCTTCACTTTTTCCTGCTGTGTGTTCTTTCTTCAGATGGGGTTGACCGAACCTCCACTATCTAGAAACTGAAGGAGTTAGTGACCGCGCTGGCCGTGAAATCGACTGCTGTGGGTCCAGTGTCAGCCATCTTCAGACTTGCACAGGATCCTCTGAGATACTTTGCAACCTTTTTTTTTCCTGGTCCCTCTCCCATTATGATTTTGTGAGAGCGTAGGTCGTTCTTGTAAACATATCATTAGACCCGGGATTGGTTATTTTGTCGTTTATTACGTCAAGAGTAGAACAGCGAGTAGAATGGATTGGTGGGGAGTGTGGAGGAGAAGGGAACACAGGGGAGGAGAGGTGGGTCTGGTGAGGGATTTCCCAGATGAAATAATGGATGGTTCCAACAGTGAGAGAGAGATAAAGGAACATGTCATCGGGAAACAGAAGACCCTGGCCCCAGGGAATCCCTGTAGAGAAGAGAGCCTGGCTTCAAAATCAGTCAAGATGCATGTGACCAAAGCAAGGTGGCATCTCACAGCTTCACCTTTCATGTCTCTCATTGATTGGCTTTTCCTGAGGCTCCAACCTGAACCAGAGATATAGAGCTACTTAGGAAAGGGGGTGAAAAGGGAGACATTTTCCTCCAACTAAATTTCAGATAAACTTCAATTTGTGTATTGTTTACATAATAACAAATCTAAAGGGTACATAATAGGTAAGATGTCAGTTAGGGCTTCTCATATTGTTGTAAAGGATTTTTGTTCTTAATGATGATATGGGATGTTTTTCTCTCTGTTCATTTTTAAAATAGCAGCAGGATTGCATTTTTATAAATGGCTGCCAAGCTCTGCTTCTAGGAAAGATGGACACTGGCATGTAGAACTGATGGGGGTTTTGTTTTTGACTTTGTTTTAACTTTTGAGCGCAGAGGTGTAGGTTGATGAGAAGGCTGGGGATGTAGCTTGAAGAGGTGAACAGTGTGGATGATGCAAAGAGGAGAGTGTCATGTGATCAGTGTTATGGCTTCTCTCTCATTTCACAAGGTGATTTCTAAAAGATGCTGCACCCTTACTGTCATGGATCTGCTTCTAACCCAGAATCTCTTCCCCCTCCACTCACTAAACCCCATCTGATTAATCCTCTATCTCCTTTCCCTTACCCCCACCACTCCCCACCCCCTCCCACTTCTCCTTAAGCTGTTAGCTTAAAAAAAAAAATCTCTGACACTCAAAGGTGTTTGCACACATATTCACCTAAGGAGGGAAGCAAGCAAAGGAGTTTGTACTTCCCCTGTGGACATGCTATGTATACATAGGCAATGAGCAGGGCTTGGGATGAAGGAATCTAGCTTGAGTGATGGGGTATGAACCCTATAGATAGTAGTCCCTTGACTCACTGAGGAAAAAGGGCCCTGAGCCACTGGGGAATGGCATAAGTTGACTGCTGGATGAAGGGTACAAATGGGGACAGTCTGTCCGCCAATGTTCAAAAGGGAACAAAAAGAGAAAGAGGGGGAGAAAAGATGCCTGTGCTTCCCATTTCCACACTTAACAAGCACAGAATCCTCTGCTTTTGTGATGCTGTTGAAGGTAGGGGTAGAGGCAGGAAGGTCAAGGAAGGAAGGGACTAATATATAGGGGAGAGAAATCTTATGATTGTAATGGATACCTGTAGGATAGCAGGGTTTAAATCAGGGATTTCTGTGATGCTGGTTGGTCTTTCCACACACAGAGAAGAAAGATGTCATTGCATAGTGATGCTATCATAAAGATGGTACCCTTTCTTAAGGGCAAGAAAGTTAAGAGAGTTTGGTGCTGTGAAAAGCGCATTAAAGGAAATCAAACAGGAGTTGAGGTCTGTACTAGAAAGCTGGACCATATAAGTCTTGGTATCAATGCATAGCCAAAGAGGCAGGTTCAGGGAGATGACATAAAAGCCAGTTCATTAGATGAGTGAGTTGGATGCTATTCTGATGATGTTTAAGATCTGAATTGACTGAAAGAAATATTAGGCTAGAAGAATCACTATATTTATGTTACAGTAGAGCTGTTTTTAAATATGTTAACCAAGTTAACAAAATTAGCACAGAAGAAAGGGCCTTCTCTATTATCAGTCTACAAATGCACCATCTCTGTGGTGAAAAAGACTTTAAAAGCTGATTTATGTTCTGGGAAAGAATCAAGTCACTTTCACAACACTGGAGTCAGGCCTTCTAGGACACCTTACAAACATTGCTTCATGTACTCATGCGTCAAAAAAAGGACTGAGCCTAAAATTTGGTGTCTCCAAGTTAAAGATCTAACTCCATGTGCAGAAAGAGGCAGCATTTTTAGTAAATGTTCTTTTGTGTTGTTATTGTTGTTAATCAAGGAAATGTCATGATGCCATTTTCATGGCATTTGCTCTGTGGTGTGTGTGTGTGTGTGTGTGTGTGTGTTTAACAAACTGTATTTCTTGCATTTTGTTGTTGTTAGGAAGGATAATCACATGTACAACAGCATGACTTGTTTAAAGGTATAGTGAAGGTAATAAGAAAGGCAAGGAGGGTTTGGAAAAGTTTATTCAGAACGCTAAGAAAGTATAGCAAGGAGGGTGAGAAACCACAGTATTACATGGCTAGTATAAAAAAACAAGAAATGGTTGAATCTCGAGTTGCACTCTAAGCAATTCTAGCTACATGAAACTTGCAGCTCAAAAAAGAAATTGTGAACACAACTGCATTAGCATGAAGTCTTTAAAAGGAAAATGACACAAAAGTATTTGCTAATTGGAATTTCTATTTATTCCTTTTACTGAATATAGAAGCAAAGGTTATCTGATTATTAGAGATATGCTTTTGGATATGTTGCTTAGTACCTTGCTGTGGCTGGTAACCATGATAATGTCTGTTATTAATAACCACATCAGTCATTTTTAAAAGCTTATTTTTCATTGACTGTGTATAGGTTAGTTATCTACTTAGTTGTGTTTTGCTGTTTAGTGTTTTAATTAAAAAAAAAACAGGGTTTCTGTTAAATTTTAGAAGACTACCCCTGCTCTATGTGGGGCCTGTATTGACTGCAGGTATAGAGCTCAATTTAAAAAAAAAAATCCTAAAGCAAAAGAAATCTATTTATTTAAAAAAAAACCAGTTGCATGCATAACGCTGTGAAGTCAGATATTTAGTAATAAAGCGGCAGTGCCTTTTTTTGTATTTACCCATTTACTCCAAATGCAACTGTTTTATAATAAGCAAATGTAAGATGATTTTTTTTAAAAAAAAATCAGAATAATGACTTTCACTACATATATTTTTTTGTTCTTGTTCTGATTTCAGCGATGTATTCTTAGCATCTCTGCACACTGCTCCAGCTACAGTAGTGTGCTGCTACAATATTCTTATCCTTATGTATGATGTTTATTGGTGCTTTTTATTCATAGTGGTTTCTTACCATTACCAATAGGAAGAGACACACACCCTATGTATACAACATGAAACATTGCTGCTGATTTGTTCTCACATGCTTTGGGTTCCACTTCTTAAATGATGGCTGGCAAGCCAAATAGACCCTATGAGGTCTGCAGAGTGATGGTTTCTGGGCCAAGAAGCTATCCAATCCTCGTGTCTGATTTGTACCAAGAAATAGGGCTACAGCTGACAACCACCACCTCCCCTTCCCACTTCCTACCTTCCCCCAACCCCATACATACACTTCTGTTACCCTTTGTTTGAGAAACATTGAGGAAAACATGCTTTTCTTTTGAGGTGTCATTTTCTACCTTTCAGTAAGTAGAAGCATTCCCAGCAGCCCTTTTTTCCCCTCATACCACCCCTATCCCCCAGCCTGCTACAGACACAGGATTTGTGTCTCCTCTCCATTGTCAACTAGAAACTTGAGAGCATCTCCTCCAGCCCAGGCAAGCACAGAGATTCAAAACCAGGACTATGACATGCTTGCCACCGGGTTGGGCTGGGCTGGACTTTATACACAGAGGATGGACAACTGAAAAGAGGAGAGAAGCAGCACAGGGAATGAGCAGAACCCAAGTTTGTCTCTCCTTCAGAAATCTCTGCAGTCAGTCCTAGTTTGGGGTACAGAAAGATGATACAACTTTAGGCTTTCTGAATGTGCCTGATGACAAGTAGATCCTGCAGAAGTATAATTTGCACACACAGCTATAATAACACTAATGTTGATTTTATACAAATCATCAGAGTTTGCAAAGTGAGTTTTATTTTTTGTAATTCCTTTATCTTTACTTAAAGGTGAATGTGTATTCCTCTGGGAGGAATAGGAAGCAAACAGGAATGTTAATAATGTTAAACAGAATACTTCCTCCCTTATTAATATATAACCCTTATGTATTTATGCATAATGTAAGCTGACTTTTAAAAAAAGCTTTGCCTTTTTTTGTTGTTGCATGCCCCATGCGAGCAAGCGATATTGTACATGCATGCATTTAGTCCTCTTTTTCTGTACAAAATTAGTGCATAAAGGGATATTTTTGCCTAGTTTATGTTGCCAAGCAATGCATATTTTTAAATTTTTTTTGGTCATATATGGAAATAGCATGTTTGTTACATGTAAAAGCTTTACTGATATACAGAAATACTAATGTTTGAAGATGCCCTTCTTGGCAAGTATACAGTTTTCAAATGTTGTTACCAGTGAAAACACCCTTGTGGTTTAAACTTGCTACAATGTATTTATTACTCATTTCCTCCCATGTAACTAAGAAATCATGGCTATATTTCATATATTGAAAGTGAAGGGAGATGATTAATACAAGGTTTTGTAACACTGGGGTGTGTTGGCCTTTTTCTTCCCTTTTTGACAACATGATTAATTAGAATCATTTGATCACAGATTTCAAGTTGGAAGAGATGTTAGAACCCATGGTATCCGACTCTTTCATCATCCAAGGTGAGGAAACTTGAAGCAGAGAGAAATTACCCAAAGTCAATAGCTAATAAATGTTGAAGATGCAATTTGAACCCAGGTCGTCCTAACTTTCAAGTTCAGCGTCCTACACTGTCCCACTGCACAATACTGCCTCTTAAAGAGAAAAAGAAATAACACCAGTAGGAAGAGGAGGAGCAGCCACAGTAATATAGCACTTGGTACAGCACATAGCAAGTGCTATATAAATGTTACCTAGTAGTATTATTAATAATAACTAATGTTTTATAGTGCTTTATGGTTTGCAAAGCATATTGTAAATCTGAATGTATTTGGATCTCACAACCACTCTGAGAGATAGGTATTATTATTATCCGTATTTTAGAGATGAAGAAACAGAGGTTGTGACTATATGCAGCTCACAAGTTTTGCCAATAAATGAATCCCTAATTGAGTGGGAAAGTTTCTAAAATGTGATCTTTGATGAGTTATTTACCTCCACCTTGCTCCTCACTTTCCATAGTTCTAGAAGGTAGCTTTAACTGACCGTGGGATAAGTGGAATGAAAACCTAAGTTTGAACCTCATTCTAACTTATTAAAAGACAAAACTGAAGAACTTTCATAACCCACCAGTAATAGCACTGACTTGGGAAGGTTCATTCCTGAGAAAATTATGCCCATAGTTAAGTTTGTAAAGACGCTAGAAGGGAAATTAAGTGCTATTCTTTAGAGAATGATGGCTAACACGTTAGGGAACCAACCATAGGAATGTGGCTGGTAAAGGGGGTAGCAATGGGTTTGAGCCCAAGAAGTGAAAGTAGAAGAGGAAAAGTTAAAAAAGCTTTAATGAATAAGTTTTCATTTTTAGACTCCTTAAAAGTTTACAAAACATTTTCTTTAAAATAAACTTCTGAGTCAGGTAACTCAAGTATTATCCTCATTTTGCAGATGAGAATATTGAGAGACTCACGGTGATGCAAGATCTCACTTGAGATCATACAGTGAGTGTCCAATCCAGGATCTGAAATAATGTCTCCTGATTCCAAATGTAGCACTCTCTCCACTATGCCCCATTTTTCAGGAGGGTTCAGTCATCTTGCTAGATTCAATAAACTCTCAGGTATCCATGTTATGGAAGAGAGACTCAGGGGTGATACAAAATGGATAAAAGAAAACAGATACTTCCTCTTGGGTCACAGACACATTCATACCCACTCCATTCCATTTCTGGTTTGGACTCTTCTCAGCTTTGGAGTAGGGGGATGTTTTAAGTAAGTATATCATCAACAGTAATCTATAAAGCCTTCATAATTATTTAAGAGCTAACTAGAGTTCTCTGAGAAGACTTCCCACAATGTTTCTGTTCACATGGACACATAGTGATAATAAACTAATGATTCCACATTAAACCAATGTGATGTAAGTCAAGTCCCACATCCTAGCACTGAATAGATAGTTAATCAGATGTACAAAAACACTTGTGTTTTCTGCTTTCAATCTGCATTCTGGATATTTCTGTCCCAAGCATCATGCTTTCAAGGAAAACTGCCCTCAGTCCTCAGCCCTGCCACTTCCCAAGTTCAATTCTTCCTGTTGTGAAACCACTCAACACATCTGAGCCCTCACCAATAGTTGTATGTAAAGGTCCTTGACTCACAAAATCAGGGAGTGACTCTGCATTGTTTGTCAATTTATTTCAGGCCTACTCTAAGGAGACTCTCTTGGGAGATTAAAATTCAATGGATATTTTGACCCCAGCAGCTCTGTCACTTCAGCATATCCTCATGTAATGTGACCATGTAATTTCAGATGTAAGGGACAACCAGGAATGATCAAAAGCCAGGAAACCAGTACAACACATTTCCCCTAATGTCACCCTCATTAGCCAAGAAAACATTAATGGGGGTGGGGGGAAAGATGAGGGTAGAGGGGAAGGTAATGCAATTAAGTGACTGAATGTGTTATGAGAAAGTGTAGATGGATTTAATAAGTGGTCCTAGTGGAGAAAAGAGGGAAAGCACACTCTCCATACTTCTTTCTGACTCATTTTATTCCTGTGAGTATCACAGATCCACAAGACACAAGGATGGGAAACACTGAGGCAAACTATTGAAGGCTTAAACATAAGGGTTCTGTATACCTAGTAGTATAGTAGACTGTTGGGAATTCCTTTGGGGCAAGTGATTTTTCAGCTTCACTAAGACCTGTACCAACACATTTACCAGGTTTGCTCATGGAACTATTAGTCACAGATGTTAGTTTTTATGTGGTATAAACAACAGAGCCTCAGTGTCAGACTTTCCTCTATGGAATCTATTCAATTTAAATGTATTTGGAGTAGTTTTTGTTTTTGTTTTTTTAACCAACCGAGAAATGTTTTTTGGCCATCTTACAAAGCTCATACCTTTTAAAAAGCAAACAGATTTGTGTTTATATCTGACTTGGTGGGCATATTTTAAAACTGGATACACTCACTCTGTGGACTTTAAAAATTAAATTCAGGGAAAAAAATATTCAGAAGCAGAGAACGTCTGATCTAAAGAAAGGGAACACAAGGAATGAAAGCAGTTCTATTTCTTCAACATGGGGGGAAAAAAAAAACTCCATGTCTCCTTTGTCCTCCAATTTGTTTTCTGAGTTGTTTTTCAGTTGCCATGTTATAAGTTAATTGACAGCTTCCACAGTTAAATCAGCTACAGGTATCCAACTTAGCTCTTACTTCATTTGTGCTTGAAACAGTTTTGTCCATTTAGGCCAGGACGAAAAGTAATTCCCATGGCCTTTTCATAAGCCAAAGCTTTGCTTTGGTTGTGTCTGATGCTTCAGAAGTTTTATGGATCCATGATGTCCTCTTTGTAAATATACCTTCCATCAGTGCTGAACACAACCCATCCATGATTTCTCATTCTGTGAGATTTTTGTCTTTATCTGCCTATATCACCTCTGAAAATGATGCTACGGACTTTCCTTTGGGTCTTTGAACAGGCTGTCCCTCTATCCTCCCTCATACTCTTGATACATGCATGGTTCTGTTTCCAATTATACTTTCCTTGCAGATGCTTCCATGGCCATTTCTGACATACAAAGCCATCCCTGCTTATGCCCACCACATAGCTCTCAATGATCCCCCTTTAGTCACCTACAGCTCTGAGTTTTTGGAGATTGTGTTATTCTTTAACTCAGTGGCATCACCAGAATTTATTGGTGTTAAAAAGATAGGCTTCATGTCAGGGATAACTTGAGATCTTTGAAACCATTATATAATTTCCTAAATACAAATCAGCCTACTCTTTTTTTTTTAGTTGATAAAAAATATTTTTTATATTAACCCATCCTACCCATGAGTAATTAATATTTTTCCCAACTATTTAGGTCAATCTTTATTTTTTTAAACAGAGGTATGTAGTTGCATTGATATAGTTCTTGTCTCTATCTTGGTAGAGTAGTTTTATATTTTTTAGACTCGATCATTTATTTTTTTCAAGTTTTTTTAAAATTAGTTTTCAACATTCACTTCCATAAGCTTTTGAGCTTAAATATTCTCCCTCTCCTTCCTTACCTTCCTCCCCAAGACAGCATGCAATCTGGTATAGGCTCTACATATGCATTCCTATTAAACACATTTTCACATTAGTCATGTTGTAAAGAAGAATTGGAACCAATAGGAGGAACCACAAGAAAGAAGAAGCAAAACAAAACAGAAGAGAAAAAAAAGAGCAAATAATATGCTTCAATCTGCATTCCAACTCCATAGTCCTTTCTCGGCATGTGGATAGCATTTTCCATCATGTGATTTTTGGAGATGTCTTAGATCCTTGCATTACTGAGAAGAGCTAAGTCTATCAAAGTTAGTCATCGCACAGTGTGGCTGTTACTGTGTACAACATTCTCCTGGTTCTGCTCACTTCACTCAGCATCAGTCCATCTTTTTTTTTTCTGAAGTCCACTTGCTCATCATTTTTTATAACAACAATAGTATTCCATTAATATACCACAACTTGTTCAGCCATTCCCCAATTGATGGGCATCCCCTCAATTTCCAATTCTTTGCCACCACAGAAAGAGCTGCTATAAATATTTTTGTACATGTGGGTCCTTTTCCCATTTTTGTGATCTCTTTGGGATGCAACCCAAGAAGTGCTATTGCTGGGTCAAAGGTTATGCATATTTTTATAGCCCTTTGGGCATAGTTCCAAATTGCTCTCCAAAATGGTTGGAACAGTTCACAACTCCACCAACAATGCATTAATGTTCCAATTTTCCCACATCTTCTCCAACATTTATCATTTTCCTGTTTTGTCATGTTAGCCAATCTGATAGGTGTGATGTGGTATCTCAAAGCTGTTTTGGTCTGCATTTCTCTAGTCAATAGTGATTTAGAGCATTTTTTCACATGACCATAGATAACTTTAATTTCTTCATCTGAAAACTTCCTGTTCATACCCTTTGACTGTTTATCAATTGGGGAATGACTTGCAGCCTACTCTTTTCATCCTATTCAGTCCTAGAACCAGCTCTTGAGTATCTTTCAAGGTCTTCTTCCAACTGTTTTGTCTCTAGTACACCAGTCAATAAACATTTACTGAGGTACTACTCTGTGCCAGACATTGAACTAAACAGAGGAGATAAAAAAAAAAAGGTAAAAGCCAAGCTCTGGGGATACAAATTAAAAAGCAGCTGGCTAAAATAATAACTAGCATTTATATAATACTTTAAGATTTGCAAAACATTTTACATGTTATCTCATTTGATTCTCACAATCTTGTGAGATAGTTTCAATTATCATCCCCATTTTGCAGATGAGACGCAGTTATCGCTTCTGAGTTGATTAGTCCATGTCTGACTCTTCATAACTCCATGTAGAGTTTTCTTAGCAAAGACACTAGAGTGGTTTGCTATT